CCCTGGTTTCATTCGCATCTGAATCAGATTTATTAGACGACGGTGGTAATATAAATATATTTTTGTTCGATACCTTAGTTTTCGTGTGTCCTACTGTTTATCTCTTATAATACTACGTAATATTTCTCGTGAGTCTGTTACCGTTACTTTCATTGCTCTTGCTGTTTCAGACAGTGGATAAGAAGCCTAGAATACCGGAGAGCGAAATCTTAACCACTGGAACTGAGGACGAGGAAGCCTCTTCCGCGCCCGAACGAGTCTCCGTGCAAAAAAACTTGCGTTTCTTTGGAGACACTGATCAGGAATCTATCTCATCCAACAGAGATCGCAGGTAAATTATTTGCTTCGTTTTAAAGTTTGAGTGCTTACAGGGCGTTAACGCGAAAACTACTGACTAGTCAAAATAACTACTATAACTACTAATAATCAAAATGACTACTGAACTAGTCAAAATAATTATTTTCAAACTTTATACATTTACAATTACTAAATTCGATATTATATTGAATTTCAATAGTTTCGATGTTAAAAAATATAAGAAAACAGTGTTATAATAGTTTACGTATTAAGATACATAAAGATTTATTGGTTAATCTATTAATAGCAAGCATGTAATTTCTATCATTAGATACATTGAATCTCCCTTGAAAGCCTTTTTGTATCTTAAAGATAAATTTTATCTAAAGTTCGAATTCACCTGCTTTTTATGTATATATTTATTTATTCTTTGCTATCCGATATCAAATTTTTGTAAATTTTACGCAAAATACATATAATTATTTTTAACAACAAAATTACATAATAATAAAACAAAATATAAGATAGATTTAATTGTACATATAATTATCTGTATTTTATAGAAACAAACGAGACGACCATGCCTGTTCTGGGCGTGATGTTACGAATTCGAGTCGTCACAATTTGGGTATCCTATCGCCACCCCGAAAACCACCGAGGCTCACTGAAAGTGCGTTATCTTCCGGTGAAAGTACAACGGGAGATAGCAGCCAACAAAGTCAAAATTCTCAAAGATCACAGAGATCTGTTATATACCTTCATGCTGCTACAGGTAATTAGCAATTTTTGAATATAGTAAAACAAATTAAATATGTTACTATATATCAATATAAAAGGAATACTCTAAAAGAATCATTTTATCATAATTAGAAATGTTTGTACTTAGGCAACTTTTAAATATCTTTTTATATTTTGTTATAAAAGTAACAAAGGAAGATATTCAGCAATTTTGTTTTTAACCAGTTTGTTCTATGTAACAAACGATTTCTATTGTACTATTCATTGCTATATTTCATAAAAAGTTTTTCATTTGCTCTAAACATTTCATTAATATAAATATAAAAACTATTTTAATTAATTAATTATATATCTAAATGTCTTAAACATAATAATATTTTTGTCTAAGTGGGCGAAATACCTGGCCCCAATGAAAGACGCAGGGCAGCGAGCAGAGAAGAATTAAATCGACCACTTCAATCACACACAAGAACAGTATCAAGAAGTGTCAGCGTCCTCGCACCTTGGAAGCCCCGACATTATAGGGAACCTTTCGAAATAAATTATGATCAACAACTACATCCAAAACCATTGACGACTATGAGACGTAGACAAAGAAGTCGTGAAACGTTAAGTCGTCGAGGAAAAGATGCACGAAGAAGCAAAGATAATCTCTCAAAAACCGGTAAAAATAAAACAATCAAAATGCTTCTATAAAATGTGTGTAAAAAATTTACATAAAATTCAAATATAACTGTGCAATAGTTCTATTAAAATAAAAACAAACTTTCATATAATTTTTATAAAGTTTTGTCAATAAGTAGGGAATAAGAAGATACTTAATTTATAAAAGACTATTTTTATAAATATCCGTAATTTGACTAAATTAATTTGATTAAACTCTTTATCCACATTTTATGTCTGAGAAATCATGTATTGCAATAATGAATTAATATTTAATTGTAATACTTATTTCAACAGGCACAATCAATCGTAGTACGTTGAAATCGAAAGACAAGCAGAAGGTGGATAGAACCGTTTCCACGGAATCGTTGGCCACCAAATCACGAAGTGTTAATTCGAAACCAGAACTAAGCAGGTCCACGTCGGTTCCACGCGATCCGAATAAAAGTGCGGGATGGTTCAAACTAAAAAGCAAGAAGTCCCGAGCTTGAAGAGGAGGCCATTGATCAATGCTAGTCTTGAGTTTCATAAGTAATTCATAATCGTAAGGGATTAACGACAACACACGCATCGATCCACCGCAATGCTCGTGGAAGATATAATTGTAAACGAGTTATTATTTTATCATTTTATTTTGTGTTTCTTTTAATGTACAATGAAATCCGCCTGAGAACGTGAAAAGATTAATAATTAAATAAGTAATTCTTATTAACCGAATAAAAAAAGTTGACAAGTTTCTTTCCGTTGTTTTAATATATAATCATTCTATCTACAATTAATATAAATTTAATTATGATGTTGATTTGTGAACCACAATTGCGCTTACAGTACTTTTGTAAACGAATTATATGGCTGCATGCGGATTCGTAACGAAATGTAAAATTATCTGAATATGTACACACGTTGTTAAAACACTACCTTTTAGTTGTTTCATTGACTGACACACTATCCTTTTAACGTGATAATTAACGAAATTAAGCTGACAACAGAAGAGGATCAGTGAAAGAAGTATGACTGGAAGATATAAACTTACACAAAGCATCAACTTTTACTTTAATGAAACTTCCAAAAACTAATTTTCCTTCTACAATAGAGCCTTCTCTCTTCCAAATTTAACAAATTAAATTTGTTGCATAAGATGAGAATGCATTCAAAATCAAAAATACATTATTATCTTTCTTATAACAAACACGTTATACGTAATTTAATAAATTCAAAACTTCATCCTTGTAATAAAAACATGTTATAAATGTGTTTATAATAAATTACAAATTAAGGGTGTGATTTACAAAAACGGAGGGAATTAATTTCATTTCACCGTGAATCAGAGTGCCATTTCCGTTTTTCTAAGTATGTACAACATTATTATTTCAAGTAAAATCAAAATTTTTAAACCTGCAAGATAATTCTTAATGTATTGATTATAACAGGTGGTACGTTTTAACATAAGCGATAGCGTAACAGACTAAAAGGAAAAAATATTTGTTAAATTATGTTACAAGCATCACCATCTTTAAGTTGTATGTACAAGAAGATACTTAGTAGTTATATGTATAATTTCTAAATGTTTATTGTGCATAGATCAATTCGATCTTATTTACATACACTAATTGTAAATATTTGTAATAATAATCTTTATTTCTAACTATAACTTTTATACTTACTTTATTTTGTTTCCACTTAATTTTTTTCTCTCATTTTACAATTTTTTAAACTGATTACAAGCATCTGATGTTAACAGTAAAAACAGATATTTTAAAAAATCTAAATGAATTTAATCTGTTTTACTGTGAGATACTATTATTTCATACAACGACATGAATTCGATAATCCATCCACAACTTTCATTCCTATTTGGTGCTGTTTATTTGACATGTATATATTAACGATTATGGATGTAAATATAACAGATATATTAACAGTGTATTGTTCTATCTACAAATTTATATTATCTATTAACACAATTATTTACTTCTCTACAAATGTATGAAAAAAATGTTAAATGCCTTAGGATTGAAGGTCCAAAATGAATTATATTTTGTAACACAGTTATTAATTTGAAATAAATAAATAAGCATAATACCAAATATTTTCAGTACTAAGAAAGAGTCAGTGTCATATGTTTCATGTATTTTATAACAGCATGCAACTGACTAAATAATTAACAACAATTAAAAACTGTATTTTTCATTTATATAAGTATTGTAATTAAATTATATATAATATAAATGTTATTCTATTTAAGATATAAGAATAAACATAAGAATTCTATAAAATTTTAACTACTTTTTATAATTAATAAAATTATAACACTCTAAAATGAAGTGCTAAATAAACTTAAAGTTATATAGTATTATCTATTTTATCCCAACAACAAAGGACTGTTCCAATCAAAATTAATATCATCCCAATGTACGTATCTGAAAATAAAAATAATTCATATGGATTCTATTATAAATTATGGATATTAAAAAGTACTAAATTATATAAACTTTTATGTATTTTTTCTTCACCCAAGATCCAACCAGTTATTGCAGTTATCATAAAAGTAATAGAATTGGTAACAGGAACAGCCAATGATATATCTGCTTTACTCAAAGTTAAAAAATATAACACAGAACCAGACTGATTAATGATAAATGGTATAATGTACTAAAACAATGAAAATCAATTAATAAAATTATATTATTCTTGTATATTTAAAATAATAAAACTTTTAAAGGAAACCTTTAAATTTGTAATAAGAAATGCAGATTCTTTAAAAAATTGACCAAATTTGGAAGATGATTCCACATTTTCTAAACCTTTAGCTCCTTTTTTAATAAATGGGTTAGATACACCCCATAAAACTGCCACAAGGATAAGGGACGTAATAGAATCTATAAAATGAAAAAATTTATTAACTTTATTATATATACAGAGTGTAACTTCATCAGTTAGAATAACTCCAATTTGATAATATTCAAAAATGTTTTCGACATAAACTGAATAGTTTCAAGAGATACATAAGATAGGGAAATCAATTTTTTTTGTAGTTGAACGCGAGAAAGAGATTTAAAGTCAATTTTACTTTTTTAAATGGACACACATTTTTTAATACATTATTTGATCCACCTAATTATTCCTCCACAAAAAAGTATTTGTCTATTTATACCGAAAAACCATTATTTTAGAAGATATTTACATTTATAGGTTATTTCTACTTTTCACTTATTACTTAAATTGAACTAAAATTCATAGTTAAGTAAAATTTATAGTATGATTAAGAATTCATGCAATATATAATAACTTATAATTTAAACAATAATTTACAATATCAATAAGGAAACGAACCTAATAATATAAACAATAATTTACAATATCAATAAGGAAACGAACCTAATAATATTGACGTTTTCTTACCTAAAGATACTGACATCTTTGTTATAATTAAACAGTTACTAAATAATTACTGTTTATTGTAATTCAATAATTAATGACGAAATTACTATATACTAAATATTTTTATTGAATTTCAAAGGGAAACACATTGACAGGTATTCAATGTATATTATATTATAAAAATAATAATTATAGATGTATTCCTACATACATTTCGTTTATAATTATAAAATATCATATCCTGTACTGTATTTGTCATTTTATAACTATATTTAATTTTAATTTTAGCTTTCACTAATGTCACAATTTTATTTTATGTTAAATTCATTATAAGTAATATCAATGTAGTATAGGGCACGCTAACCTCTAAAATGTAAAATAAAAAATTAAATCAGATACTAAATTTATCTTATATCTTATTTGTATTACATTTTTCTGACAATATAATAATATTTTTATAGAATAAGTTTAAATTATTATAAAACTATGAAAAGCTATTAGTATTTAATAAATTTAAAAAATATCTTAATCCCATACAGTAGAATATTTGTTACAGTATTGAAGAGATAAAAAATATTATTACATATTTCTCCTATTATCTAAAAATATAACCTACCTCAAAGAAAATTCTTTTTTAGTGAAAAAAAATGACCGGGAAAACTAAAAATATGGATAATAATTTACCACTACCTCCTGATAAAATGCCTAAATGTTGGAACGAAGAAGAAAGGATTAGTGCTTTATTTTCTCCTTTTCGGAGTAAATCAGCTAATTCACAAGATTGGGTATCAAAATATAAATTTTGGCAAAATTTAATTTATGAATGGCTAAAGCACACTAAAAGGAGCAGTTTTTCTATTGTAGATTTGAATAATGTCTTTAAAAGAAAAGGTTGTTCACCACTTTGTTTAGTGACTGTTGTTGAAGAACTTCTTCGGTAATATTGCACTTATGAATAATAACAATACAATTAAAAAGAAATTTCTATTCTAACTATACATATTCTTACATTAAAATTGAATTTATGTAATATTGTAGGAAGAATGAAATAATTCCAGAGATTCAATTTTTGAAGGAACCTTGCGAAACATGGGCAGCATGGTCAATTGATATATTTGTAAAAAAGCCACTTACATGGTCATTTTCCAAAGTTAAAAATTATGTTATTAATAATGAAATTAACAAAGATACTAAATATATACATTTACAAATTGTTAAAGAATTAGGAGATACTTTAGTTTCCATTTTAGAAAGGAAAAAAGAAAGTATTCTCGTACCATTTTCTGAGCTAGTAAAATGTTGTAAATTTGAAATAGATGAAAATATATCAGATAATACTGTGATGTTAATTTTAATATGGTTAAGACGTGAAAAAAGAGTAATTTTTAGAAATTGTAAAAATGAAAGTGAATTATTGATTAAAATTGCTATACATCCATCAGATAGTGTAACAGAAATTGAAGAAGGCTTATACAAGTTAATGAAACAAGAAAATGAACTTATAAAAGAAATGGAACTTATGGAAGAAGAAAAAATTAATATTATTAATGAAACTAAATCATATTTAGCTAAAGGGTTACGGCAAGTAGCAAAAACATATCTGAGGAAAAAAAAAGAATTAGAAAATAATATTGAAAAACGTGCACAAACTCTTGATAATATTCAGACTCTTATAACAAGTATTCAAAACACTTGCACAAATACTACTATATTATCAGCTTACAAAACAGGATCAGATGTATTAAAGAAACTTAATGAGAGTAATTTATCAGAGTCTAATGTTAAAGATATTATGGATGATCTTTCAGAAGTGAGTCAATTTTGAAACTAAATCATTTTTAATTTTCTTACTGAAACTATTCCATACTAAGATATTTGTTGATGTAAATTATAGGCTTTGGAAGAGCAAAAGGAATTACAATCTATGATGTCAGAGTCTTTTGTAAATGATGATTCAAATATTGATTTAGAACAGGAATTGGCAGAATTAATGAACGATAAAAATGTTTTTCCATCAATACCAAATACAGAATTAAATTCTAACATCGAGGAACTTCAAAGCAATTTGGAAAACTTACATATTAAAGGTAAAATATTTATATATTTATTTACATTATAACATTATATTATTTTGATGTTCTATATCATGATACGCTTTTGTAGAAGCTGCTGTATTGAATATATCACCAGAATTACCAAAAAAGGTTCACAATAAAAAAATATTAAAACAATCTGAACGTGCATGAATATAAATGAAATATGGATGATACTGAATTCACAAAGAAATGATTTATTTTTCTGATATAGTACTTATTACAGTACAGTGAATTGTTTTAAAAATCAGGCCTAAATGTAACTTCTAATTTATAAAAGTATATAATTTAATTATATGTTATTTAATGTTTCTGTATCAAAAGATTTTTCATGTGTTTATGTAGTTTAAGATATGTAATATCGTCTTACACATTTTTTATTAAATATATTTGCAATATAGTATAACATATTTTTATTATTCCTCCATTTTAATAATATATGATGATGTATTTATGAATAAAATGATAATGGAATATAAATGTAATATATATAATATGTATTGTCATGGAGTTTCTCTACGAGTTTCATTGCCACATTCCATAACTAGAAAAAAGTAAACAGTACTTTAAATCACAATGGAAAAGTTATATGAATATATATAATTA